ATATTGAATATTTTACATAGTCATCTGTATGTACATTAAGCTAAATCTGAGTCCATTCTGTTATTTCCAACGTTAATGCATTACCATATAGATTATTATATGCCCCTCCTCTACTATCCAATAAATTCCCATTTCAACAGCGAAAACCTGAGTTTCATTCTGCCATCCATTTACAGAATCACTTTCAGCAAGTGTACATATGTAACAGTGCGAGTGGTCAACCTCACTCCCATCCATGAAGAAAACTTTATCAACCAAGTAACCTACCTATACGCAGCTTCATTTTAGTTTTATTCTTACAGACTCTATTCACTTTTAGGGTTACTTACAACCTAACTTTCAAAATTCATTTTAGCGTGACCTATATAGAAGAGTGAATCCTATGCCAGAGTCACTTTTGAAGTTTCAAAATGGCAAAATCCAACATTAATTTTTAGAACATCTCTAAGTATACTAATAATTTTTTCTCATAGCCGACTGCTCAGCAGTTCACACATTTTGACAAACTGTTTGAATGCAATCTTCACTCAAGTCATTAAAAAAAGCTTTTGGTGTTTTTGATTTTTTTTAAAAAAATTATATAGAGAAGGGCTTAGGAGCATGTTCAGATACAAAGATTTTCCATAATGAAGAGCAGTTGTCTTACACAAAACCATATGGTAACAGAAAAATGAATGGTGTGGTAACTAATATAATGTACAAAGAATGAATCGATGTTTATTGAAAACTCCTAAGATAGCAACAGAACCGCCCACCAGAACAAAGTATCTAAGAGAAATTGCTCATTGTTTCTGAAGGGAATTGACTAAGAAAGAAATATGTCTTATGATACTTTATTTATAAGTCTCTTGCTAACAGAAGTAATACAAAATGAAATTCAAAACATCCGAACTGTTTATCATAAACATTTATCAAAGATGTCGGGAAGATAGTTCTTTCAAGTGGTAGAGTACATGCATTGCATATTTAAGGCTTGAGTTCAATTCCTGATATAGCTTGACATTCCACCGTTCAACTTCACACAGCACCACCCTGGGTAACCCTGGTAGCCACTAAGTAAATCCCACCAGCCTAGATCCAACAGCTGTACAAGTGGAACTATGCTAAAATTGACCCTTATTAAAATAAATATGTCACTGATAAAGCAGTTATACCTCATAAAATCATAAGTATAAAAGTTGACCCAGAAAAAAACAGCTTAAAAAAATATCTGGCAAAAGGTCTACTGGTTAGCATTTATATAGTAAAATTTACTGTTGAGTAAAATATTAACAGAACATAGATATTAATAAAATTTACAACTTTAAAATTGATGAGGGAAATTAGACATAGTAAAAGTAGTGATGGAAGAAGACTTTAAGAAAGGAGATGGATTAAAAAAATGGCACATTAAATCTTTGCTATGACATTTATATAGAAAAGAATTGGAACCAGTGACTAGAATTTTAAAATAATAATAATGAAAACACAAATATTGGAGAAGAGTTTAGCTGAAATATATGAAAAGTTAATTAAAGAATTTTTACTTGAAATTAGTTTTTTTCAGGGCCAGAGTGATAGTAGACAGTAGATAGCTTTGCATGTGGCTGACATGGATTAGATCCCAAGCAGAACATCTGTCCTCCAAGCCTCAACAGGAGTGACCCCTAAACACAGATCAGTAATTAATCCTGAGCACAACTGGGAGTGGTCCAAGGAACAAAAAGTAAAAATAATTAAATACAACATATTTTTTAATGTAAGAATTACACACAGTCGGGGGCTGGAGTGATAGCACAGAGGGTAGGGCATTTTTCTTGCACGTAGCCGACCCGGGTTTGATTCCCAGCATCCCATATGGTCCCCTGAGCACCGCCAGGAGTAATTCCTGAGTGTAGAGCCAGAAGTAACCCCTGTGCAATGCCGGGTGTGATCCAAAAAGCAAAAAAAAAAAAAATTAATTAAATTTAAATTAAAAAAAAAAGAATTACACACAGTCTAAAATGAGAAGTTTGAAGAAATCATAGTTTTGTGACATACTCTCAATTACTGATCTAACAATTTGCCAGAAATTCACTGTAGCAATTCTTTTCCCCCATCCTAGCATACTATTAAGAGCCCCTTTTAGGGAAGAAAATTTAAGAAGACATCTTTGACATTTCCTCTCAAACACTTGAGTTCTAATCCATATTTACATTGATTCAATCCAATTCAATTACTCAATTGCTCCAGTTGGTTAGTTTCAAAGTAAGCATTTGGTGAGCGCGCACACGAGCCATGCACCCGCCTGTGCACACATTTTGAAATTGAAAGAGGAGGGGCTGGAGAGATAGCACAGCGGATAGGGCGTTTGCCTTGCACGTGGCCGGTCCGGGTTCGATTCCCAGCATCCCATATAGTCCCCTGAGCACCGCCAGCGGTAATTCCTGAGTGCCGAGCCAGGAGTAATCCCTGTGCATTGCCAGGTGTGACACCCAAAAAGCAAAAAAAAAAAAAAAAAAGAAAGAAAGAAATTGAAAGAGGAGTGCTAAATGTAGCATGAGCCTCTTTGCTTGCCTGGCTCTGTTCCCCGTGATGCTTTCCTCAGGACCACAAGAACACACAGGAAACTCCAGTCTCTGCTCCCAGGCACCCAAGACACTCTTGCCTTCCCCTTTAAAATGATCCAACATGCAAAATCAAAGCAAGTAGAAATCTATCTATCTATATGATCTATCTGTATATCACATTTTACCAATAGGTCAGCGAATTTCCTTGCACACATCCTCTTTGGCTTTGATTCCTGACACCCCGTGTGGTTCCCCGAGCACTGCAAAGAGGATGATCCCTGAACATAAAATGCAGAAGTGATTCCTGAGCAGAGCTGAACATGGCTCAACATTTAAGGAAAAAAAAATACCAACCAGTTTCCAAGGAGATGCATGCCAAGCAGCTAAAATTCATGGAAACACCATCCCTGCAGCAGCTGTAGACTCTGGGGTACCCTAGGGAGGCTGACGGCCAAGTACCCACCCTGCTAGAGCCCCCACAGCCACACTCACACCTCATCCCTTCAGCCATGGTAAGGGCTTACTTAGCTCTACCATTTCAAGAATATCCTCTGCAGAGACCCAAACAGCAAATAATTACAGGAACTTGGGTGCCCAGGCTAGAAATGGCGGGGAGTCTTCTCAGAATTGCTGTAGGCAGTGGGAGGTCTCCCCCACCTATACTTCTGGAAGCCCGGGTAGCCACGCCCACCTCTCACAGTCACCAATATGTCAACTCACTGGTCCAGACCATGTATCCTGAAGTCTCTGTACTCTGCGGCTGTGCCACCTCTAAGGGATATTGGTGGTGGGGAATGTGAACGGTGGAGGGATGGGTGTTTGATCATTGTGCGATTGGAACCCAAACATGGAAGTTTGTAACTATCTCACAGTGATTCAATAAAATTAAAAGAAAAAGAAACGCCAGTAGGAGTTCGCCAACTTAGATGGGCGAGTAGCATAGAAGCCAGCCAAACTCAAGAAACCAAAATAATGACACGGAAGGCCCAACTAACAACAAACAGTTTAATAAATTCTTAGACAAGAACTTAATAACCCTGTGACCAGATATAATAACTTTTACATTAAATTTATCTTTATACTTGGAGCTTATCTAATCACTTTCAACTCTAGAATTGGATCAACAGCTGTGGCTTTTGTCTATGTGAAAAGACTTCACAATTTGTTCTGTTTTATTATAATAGTACTTTAGTGCATTCTAAATCTAAAAGAAACTGGCTAGGAGCTCAGAGAGAGAAGGGAGCACCAAATAAAGGGTGTTGGGAGGATCCTCCCAGAATGGGAGAAGCATGCTGAAAGTAGACTATAGACCAAACATGATTGCCACTCGATGCCTCTTTTGCAAACCACAACACCCAAAAGGAGAGAGAGAACAAAAGGGAATGCCCTGCCACAGATGCAGGGTGGGACGGGGGGATAGGAGGTGAGAGGGATACTGAGACGCGAGATGGTGGGAAGTGGGCACTGGTGGAGGGATGGGTGTTTGATCATTGTATAATTGAAACCCAAGCACAAAAATTTATAAGTCTACAACTGTACCTCATGGTGTTTCATTAATAAAAGTTAAAAAATAAAAACAAATAAAAGAAACTGACTAACTATATAACACATAATGCATTAGCAAATTAATTTTTAAGAATAAATTAATTAAAATATAATAAGAAGAATACCAAGTCGTATTTGAGGTAAAGGCACCGGAACACTTTATTCCAAGTGTTTGCTGGTCAGAGCACCTGGTGAGCTGTAGAGCCTGGCGGGATGCGATGTGGACTTGTCCAATGTTCTCTTTGGAGAGTTGGAAGCTTCTCTGGTGGAGGGAGAGGAAGGAGCTGCACAAGCGGACACCTGCTCAGGCATCACTGCTACATTATTAAAAACCAAGAACTGGGGGTGTGGCTCCGTGATAGAGCAGAGCATACGTGAGGCAGTGGGTTCAATCCCTAGACACACACAGTATAGAATATAGTAAAGACAGCTGTAAAGACAGCTGAGCATACTTTTTTTTTTTAAAAAAAAAAAGTGAAAATGAAATCAGCGGGGCTGATGTGATAGCACAGTAGGTAGGGCGTTTGCCTTGCATGCGGCCAAACCTGGTTCGATTCCCAGCATCCCATGTGGTCCTCTGAGCAGCACCAGGAGTGATTCTTGAGTGAAGAGCCAGGAGTAACCCCTGTGCGTCGCCGGGTGTGACCCAAAAAAGCAAAATAAATAAATAATAAATAAAATAAAATGAGAACCAGGGAAATAGCTACGTGGACTGGAAGGCATGCGCTGCATACTGTAACCCTAGTTTCAATCCCTGGTACCCCAAGCACTGCTTTTTGGGGTCACAAAAAACAGACCCTAAAAGTAGTTAAAATGATAAACACTATGTTATGTCCATTTCATCACAATTAAGAAAGAACTAACCTGGACAGGAAATGTGTTCCCTTAAACATACCTTGCCATCAATACTGTTCCTTTTCCTCTCAGACCAACAGGAGCGCCTGGGAGCACGGAGCAGTACAACGTGGGCATGGTGAACACCCATGGGCTGGAGACCTCCCATGCAGACACTTTCAGCGGCAGTATTTCAAGAGAAGGAACCTTGATGATACGAGAGGTGGGCTAGCACAGAAACTATGTTATACAAGTGAATGTCTGAAGTTTTTAATTGACAATTTCACACAGAGTGCTTATACATGTATATGGAATTGGTTGGAAGCAGGGAGGTGCTTCTAAATGATTGGGTGATTTCCATTATCTCTTTTCTGAAGCCTCTTAAGCATTTGCAGTATGATTTAGTTACATTAGTCCAAATTTTCAGTAGAAGTTGTACACATTGTAATAGAGAATTGGAGCCTAAGACTAAAATTGACAAACCCAGATGTTTCCTACAATAGAAAAACAAACATGATTAATAGCACCACTGACCTCACTATGCCTCCTACCCACAAAGCTTTTTCCTTATGGATTTTACATAGAAAATTCTTAGTAGTTCCAAGATATGGTGATATCACATACCTAGTTACTGTACTAAAAAATGCCAGTGAACTAGAGAATTAGGCAGATCTTATGTACCTTACCACTTTGGATGATTATATTTTATAAACTCTAGGAACATTATATATTGGGTATATGTGTTCCCTCTCATCTGTTTGTGCTAACCAGAAACCCTTGACCAATCAGAAGCTGTCATCTCCTCCTTCTTCATTGCTCTGCAAGTTTGACAACAGGTTTCTGCCTGGACAAAACGAAATGACTATTCACACAGGTTCAAAATTACTAGATATCTTCCTGTATCATTTTAAATAATCTAGAAGCCTTTATAAATAATAGTATCTGACTTACAGGATGAGTGGAAGATTAAATGAGTTAATAGGGGAGCAGTCAATGGATGTTAACTATTTTACTCTCTTTTACTGTGTATTGGTCACTATTGCCCTCTTAAACAGAAGCCATTTGTTGTTCTCCATTTTCAACCAAGATGACATTGGAAAACAATAAAATCAGGCTTTGCACTACTAAAAAGGAAGCTGGTATCTTGCTTTTGTAAGAAAGAAAGGAACTAAATTTTTGAGATAAGACTTTTGAAGTAATCACTGGTGATAAGATAATGTAGGAGACTTATTCACAAAGCAACTTTCTAGAATTTTGTTCTAAGCTCTTGATACATCTTTCAAGTAGCCATTAAACAGGCCTTTCACTTAAGACTATAGACCAAACACAGTTGTCACCCATTGCCTCTTTTGCGAACCACAACACCCAATAGAAGAGAGAGAACAAAAGGGAATGCCCTGACACAGAGTTAGGGTGGGATTGGCGGGGACATGGGGTGGGAGGGATACTTGGATCAGTGGTGGTGGGAAATGGACACTGGTGGAGGGATGGATATTTGATCATTGTATAATTGAAACCCAAGCACAAAAATTTGTAAGTCTACAACTGTACCTCAGGGTGTCTCACTAATAAAAATTAAAAAATAAATAAATATATATATAAAAATTAATTTTAAGCATTATTGGAAAAAAAAGACCTAAGATGAAAAATGGGCTGGTTTGCTGAAGCTGACATGGTGGAATGCTGACTTATAAATCTCCTAAGGTAGTGAATGGACAGTTTCAGCAGTAGTCTTGATGACTTTATCACAAGAGTTTGTCACTTGGGAAAAGCAGGAAAGAAAATATGCTGAATGGAATTACTCCCTAACTCCAGATAAATTTATTTTTTTCTAATATGTTTTAAAATTCGCTAGAGGGCTGGAGCAATAGTACAGTGGGTAGGGCATTTGCCTTGCACGCAGCCCACCCAGGTTCAATCCCCGACATCCCATATGGTCCCCCAAGCACCACCAGAAGTAATTCCTTAGTTCAGAAACAGGAGTAACCTCTGAGCATTGCTGGGTATGACCCCCCCCCCAAAAAAAGATAATAAAAATGAAAAAATTTAAAAAATTGCTTGAACCTTTTCAACAGAGTCAGTAGCTTGAAGTAGGTATTTGGAGCCATATTTCCTCTTCACTTGCCAATTGCTTCCAAATGGCTCAGCACTCTGTTTTTCTATGACCCCAACCAGTCATTCTGAGAGAAGCATTCCCTAATACTCTGTGAGTTTGCTCTCTCTTAAGATCTCCCAAATCTTCTTGCCCTCTCAGTGTTTAAATGCTTCCTTTTCCAAGTATTAGGCTTTTATTTTATTTTATTTTTTAGAAAATAGAAAAGTTTTTTTATAGCACAGCGGTAGGGTGTTCGCCTTACAAGCGGCCAACATGGCCGACCCGAGTTCGATTCCTCCGCCCCTCTCGGAGAGCCCGGCAAGCTACTGAGAGTATTCGATATGCCAGACACAGTAACAACAAAGTCTCCAATGGAGACGTTACTGGGCCCGCTCGAGCAAATCGACGATCAACGGGAGGGCCTTTACCTTTACCTTTATCTTAGAAAAGTTTTTTGAAAGAGAACGATGCTCTCGAGCAGAGGAGGAACTCAGTATATAACTAAGTTCAAATGTTTTTAAAAGAACAAAATTTTTTTTAATTGAATCACCATGAGATACAGTTATAAAGCTTTCCTGTTTGAGTTTCAGTCATACAATGATCAAACCCATCCCTCCACCAGTGTACATTTTCCACTGCCAATGTCCCCAGTATTCACTCCATCCCACCGCTCCCCCTGCCTCTATGACAGACAATTACCCCCATACTCTCTTTTGTATTGCTTGTTCTGGATAACATAAGATGTTGCGCGGCCGCTCCTGGAATTCTAAAATTTTAGATAATTCGGGTCTAGAGAAATCTCTGCAGTGAGCTGCTCAGTTCCAAGACTCTTTTGTGTGTCTCTGGGTAAAAGGACCTTAAATAGAAGTGGGAGGCAGTTCATGGGCGTGACCTCCAGGGTCCTATAGAGAGGAGAATATGAGAAGGACTGGCTCATCCCTTAACCCTTGAGGCCTGGAGTTTGCTTTCACTGAACCACGTACCTGCTCTTCTCATTGGAAAAGAGCAAATCTTGAGTGGGAACCCACTGAAAACCAATGTTTAAAAAACCTGTAAAAATCCAAGCAGGTTTGAGGAAGTTAAAAGAAAATGAAATGCATTATAGCATAACTTACTTGACACTGTGCTGGTAATAGTTCAGTTCTCTGAGTTGAGCATCAAGGCAACCTTGCACAAATCCTCTTCCTCATGTGAGTCGACTAGGTAGCTCTATAGGAATACATGAACTCTAATGCCCATGACCACGTCAGGTGCACAGACTCCCCCTTTTCATACACAACCTGCCCATTGTTACTCCCTTTGCCATTTCTGCAGCCCGCAGAACTGTAGTTTTCTTTACTCTAGTTTGAGGATAAACACACCAGTTACCTAGACCACTCTGTCTACGGGGACCATCTGCCAGGAGAGCTCTTGTCGCTTCCCCATCACAGCTGAGTCTTCACTCATCACATCCCTTAGCCATCCCTTTGTTCTCAAAGCTTCCTTTCAACCACAAAATCCTGAAAACAAGGTCCATAATACCTTCCTTACTGACCAGCTGCTAACTACCCAGTGCTTGTCCACCCCACTGAACTGAAACACCATCTTGTTTATTTACAAGTAATGGAGAAAAGACCCACATAAAAGACTTAAAGAAAACAAAAGGTGAGGGCCCATAGACTAGTACAGGAGGTAAAGTGCTTGTCTTATATGTGGTTGACCCCTGCTCAATCCCCAGCACTGCATAGCATGCAGTCTTCCAGAAATGACTTCAGGTCCAACCAGGAGAAAGCCCTTACCATTGCTGCTAGGTAAGGGCCGACCACCACCACTCCCACAACTCCATTACACACACACACACACACACACACACACACACACACGTAGCATAGGTAGGTAGGAAAGGAATAAAGATGTGGAGTTATGTCATGGCAGAAGCCAAAGACAGGAAAAGCATAGCGGGTAGGGCATTTGCCTTGCACGTGGCCGACAGGGCTGACCTGAATTCGATTGCTCCGCCCCTCTCGGAGAGCCTGGCAAGCTACCGAGAGTATCTCCCCCGCACGGCAAAGCCTGGCAAGCTCCCCGTGACATATTCGATATGCCAAACACAGTAACAAGTCTCACGATGGAGACATTAATGGGCCCGCTTGAACAAATCGACAGTGACAGTGACGTTTGACAACTAAACGTCACATCAGGCAGCTTCCCATGCACATGTCTCTGGTGCTCACAATGTCTTGGTCTACCTGTGTTCATCTTTACTTTGCTCCATAGCTCCTTTGCTCTATTTTTACAGACCAGTATTTTCTTCCATATGAGTATCGCATGTACTCTCCCATTTCTGGACCCTACAGTACAAGATACTCACAACATCATAAATCTACAACCGGACAGAGACTGGGCTATTGCTCTCAGACTTTACAGTAAATCCCAGTAGTAATCTTTTGCTCAGCTTAGGTGTCCACTGCTGATCCTATGAGATCTGGCCAAGAGGTGAACCATTTATTTAGGCACTTCCCAGAGTATCTGGGCTCTGCCTTCAGAAAGCTCTGATTTAAATCCACTTACAACCAGTGCTGCTCAGACAGGTTAATGAATTCTTGGCACTTCAGGCATTCCATCTTAAGGTAAAGGTAAGGTAAAGGCCCTCCTGTTGTTCATCGATTTGCTCGAGCGGGCCCAGTAACGTCTCCATTGGAGACTTTGTTGTTACTGTGTCTGGCATATCGAATACGTTACTGGGAGCTTGCCAGGCTCTGCCGTGTGGGCGAGATACTCTCGGTAACTTGCCAGGCTCTCCGAGAGGAGTGAAGGAATCGAACTCGGGTCGTCCATGTCGGCTGTGTGCAAGGCAAACACGCTACCACTGTGCTATCTCTCCAGCCCTTCCATCTTAAAAATAGAAATAATTTTGGTATTATTATATAGAGTCAATGAAATGCTACACATAAAGGTTTAGGATGGTCCCTGGCTAATGTTGGCACTGGGAGCCTCTTAGGCCCACTCCCCATGATGAGGGAATAGAGATTATACAGCTTGTTGAGGTTGTGTGAATGAGGTCCTTAAGGCAGGGCTGTTATTCACTTGTCTTTGTGATCCCAGCAGTGTATGTGCCACACAAAACTTATTTCATTCTAAGGTGCTGGTTGAATGAACAGAATGACTCAGAAGGAGGAAGATTCAGGGGTCACTGCCAGAGTCCTTCAAGCTTCTCCCTTTCTGTTCCATTTCCTCTTAGCCTCCTCAGGTCTTTCTTTCATAACTGATGTGTCTGAATCTGTTTTTTGACTTGAAGCAGAACAGTGCTGAAACAAGGGATCCCAGCACAGTCTAGAGAGAATGCATGATTTATGCTACTGAGAGGTTGGGTGAAGGGGGGAAATATTAAAAAGTTTTTCAACACTTGAGCAGGAGAAACTGCCCAATGCACATAAAATAAGGGGCAATAAGATAATTCAAGGTCAAACTCTCCAGATGCCTTTAGAAGATGAAATATTCAACTTAGAGAATAAACTAGTGAAGACTACATATGAGATCTGTGACCAAAGCCACCAAAGATGCCCCTTTCCCAGGCATTTTTTAGGCAGAGTCATTTGCTAAGAACCACTGAGGGCATTGAGGCTTTCTGGTTATTTCTCAAACTTTCTAGTAACATCAATCACATATAACCTTTCACACTCTTAGGAGTCTGTTTTATCCTGTGAAAAAAGATTAAAAATAAACATTCCTCCTGTCATTTGCAGGCCAGAACTGTCAAAGTTCTCAAAGGGAAAGCCAGGTCCAAGCCAGTGCAGTGATTGCAGGAACAGCCTGAACTCAACATCGGTCCCTGCAATGAACATTAGCAAAACTTAGTTCCTTTTGTATTACTAAATCTATGCCCACTATGTGAGTGTGACCTTTCCACACCCCATTTGGATATGGTGAGGGATGGCATCGTGGCATTACTCCGAGACCCCTTCCCTTCCTCTCTCATGCCCCTTCCATGTGTTGTCTCCCTCAGACTTCTGGAGAGAAGAAGCGATCTGGCCACAGTGACAGCAATGGTTTTGCCGGCCACATCAATCTCCCCGACTTGGTGCAGCAGAGCCATTCCCCAGCAGGGACCCCCACCGAGGGTCTGGGACGCATCACCACCCACTCCCAGGAGATGGACACTGGGACTGAAGTAGGTGCTGGGCATTAGCCAGGAAAACTCTGTTCTTTCCGGGTGACAAGACTTTGCCAACCCGCTGGAACTTGCTCTGGTGGTGTCTGCTGCATAACAACTTATGTGTGTATTCAAAAGAAGAAGACAAAGCAGCAGAACAGTGAAAAACTCTCAGATGTCATCCGGACCCATTTCTGTTTGTACTGGATAGATGAGATTACTGAGGGACTAAAGGATTTAAGTGACTGGCTGGAGCCAGAGATAGAACCTCTCTTTTTCTCAGTCAACAAATATCCCAATATCAACAGTTGAGTTACTATTTACATAAATTTCCTCTGGCTGAATTTGGCTTCAATTAAATGAGGTCATAAGTCCAAGAATGTGGCTCAGTGGTAGAGCACTTGTTTTGCAGTTGTTATTCCCTGAGTTCTATCCCCAGTACCTATGAGTTACCCTGAGAGTCACCAGGAGTTACTTCCAGTACCAAGCTGGGAGTTGGCCCCAAGTAAAGTCTGGTGTGCCTCCTTTTACACAAAAATAAATAGCTGAAATGAGGTTGTAACATTAGTTTATAAAAATAACAATTGGTAAATGGATATATTCCCAAGGAGTTTATCTTCCTAAATTCCCAAATTACATTTTTAAAAAAAAGAGAAACGTATTATGTATACAAAAAAATTCTGGGAAGATTTGAATAAACACAGTCAAATGAGCAGTGCTCACTAATGTTATTGACTGATGTTGACCAATTAGATTAGTTGGCAATTCATGGTCATGTGTTTAGATTAGTATTGAGTCACACATAGACTCTAAAAATATTTATGAAGCATGTGCACTGTTGTTTTTGATGTTATCCACCCAGCGTTTTATTAATTCTCACTTTGGCTTCTAAAGCTCATCTAAGCAGATGAACTTTGCTTGCATTAAGGAAAATAGTATAGGCCCACATTGGAAAATATAACATACTGTTGTAGTTTTGTGAAGATATGCAGGAACTTCTCTCTCAAACCCTATGAGTTTGGACCCTGCTTCACATTTTGCTGCTGCCACGGGTAAGTGGCACTCAAAATATCTGTCCTCCCTCTGTCACTAACTTTAAAGATCAGAGGATGGTACACTGAGTAGGGTGCTTGCTTTGCATACAGCTAACTGGAGTTTAATCCCTGGCACCTCAAATGGTCCCCTGGAAACTGCCAGAAAGGGTCTTTGGTCACAGAGCCAGGAGGAAACCCTGATCACTGCTAGGTGTGGTTTCCAAAACAAAAATAAATAAGGCAAGAGGAAAACATGTCTGTGGAATTACTATTTTAGAAAGAGGATCTTACCTTGTAGAATATAAAATTGTTTCAGTTTCATAAACTAGAGAGAAAATCTTGAATCAAGTTAGGTTGAATATTTGTAATTTTCTTTTTATGTGGTTAAGGAGGTTGCTGGTTTGTTTTTAATAAAAAGACTAAAACCATTAACTTTATCCCAGCAAAAAAGATATGTTTGTTACATTGAATGCTAGTCTCTTCATCTAAATGTGTACTAAAAACAACTAAATGTGACAAGCAAACTAGGAAGTTGGTTACTCACACTCCTTTTTTCAAAATTTAAACACAGAATTTAGGACACAGTGCCTTGATATTTGAACATACTCTTTTTGAGTCTGCTTGATTTCATATTTCATGGTGCTTTTTAAACACCTAAGTTGTTTTGTAAACTCATAAAGTGCACTGACTTCAGGTTTTGTATCTTCATGAGGCCCCCAAGTAAAGCATGTGCATATGCATAATTTTCTAAAGAAACTCTCTTGGGAATTAAAAAATCAATCTCTGGATGAATTTGTCCATGAATTAAAGACCTTAAGATTCTTAACCCAATATCAAGCCATCTGTATCATCAGGCCCGTGTGGAGGAATTCAAAGATCCCAAAAGTGATTAGTTTTTTGGGATTTGTGATTAGTTTAGTTGATTGTGTGTTCAGGATGAGTGCTGTTGTGTAGAGAGTCCTGGTTTATTGTGTGGCTGTTCGTAAGACTATTTGGCGAGTAAGAGCTGTGTTTTAACTTCAAGGGAAGGATCAGCTCTTTCACCACGGCCGTCCTACCACATGTGAAAGTGTCATAAAGAGACCAAAATGCAGTTTTCTCACTTCAGTCTATGGCCTTACAATTAATGCAAATTTGCTGAGACAGAGAGGCAATATTAACTAAAACCAGAAGAACAAGAAGAGGTTCACAGTTTAATTCAAGGGTTAGAGTATGAAACTGCTAAGTAGATTTTAAAGTTCAAGCTAAGTACTATAGTTTGTTCCTGCAGTACTTATCTGATATTTGTAATCTTCTTTCTTATTGATTAGTATGGCATTGGGAGCAGTACTAAGTCTTCCTTCACCCCCTTTGTGGACCCCAGAGTGTATCAGACATCTCCCACTGATGAAGATGAAGAAGATGAAGAGTCATCAGCTGCAGGTAAGCTAGGACCCCGTGATCTTAAAAACAGCTTGGTATTCTTTTCTTGTATGACCAGATAAAGAAATTAATCATTAATTAAGCAGTTAAGCCATTTAATGCTAAGGTCATTTCTTAAAGGAAAGAATTATACATTTTTAAGATTCCTAAAACAAACATATATAATCTCTTTTATTTTGCTTCTGGTAGGAATCCAGAAGTATCCAGGGGCCCTAGGAAAAGCTGTTCCTCAGAGATCTCCAAACTCACCACATATTTCTCAAAAGCAATTTCTGGGTACAAATGTTGTGCACGCCGTAGGCTCTATAAGTGCGTGTTGAGTTGCATTCTAGATGTGTGCTCTCTGCAAAACTCTGGCTGACGTAGAGGAGAGCCTTGCTTTCTTTACACTTCTGCTCCTCACTAATCATCAGTCAGCTTTGGCCAATTTGTCGATTGATAATGTCAAATTTCAAAAAATAAGTCTTTCTGGATCTATCGCAGGAGATGCGGTGAGATGTTTAGTTTTGTAAGATTAATATCAATCCTCTAAATAATCCACTCTAAATGTCTATAGGCCTATTTTACTAATGAATAAAATGCTGCTTATATAAATAACATTTTATTCTACTAAAAATAAACCTGTAGTTTCCATTTCTTTGTCTTTACTATAATGCATACTAAACAAGAAGCATAATCTTTTGAAGCCCCTTTTCCATATTTCCAATGATAATTTTTAAGATATCATTCATTGACTTCTCTGATTCTTTTTCTCAAAGCTCTCTTTACTAGCGAACTTCTTAGGCAAGAACAGGCCAAGCTGAATGAAGCGAGAAAGATTTCTGTGGTCAACGTGAACCCAACGAACATTAGACCTCATAGTGACACACCAGAAATCAGAAAATACAAGAAACGATTCAACTCAGAAATACTTTGTGCAGCGTTGTGGGGTAAGTAACACTATTGATCACTCAGGGAGAAATTGACCTTCGAACAACAGAAGCTTAGCTAACAAGGTCATGGATGTTAAGGACCCAACCTGGGACTATTTAGCCTCTGGGAACATTGAACAACTTTACTCTAAAATGATAACCAAATGCCCAAGATAATACAGTAAGATTCAGGATAATCTTAACCTTAAATGTGATTACCTAAAACCAACAACAGAACTACCACCAGCTAATAAATACCCATTATGTTCCCAGCCCTTTGTGCTATGCCCAATGTTTGTCTTTGTGAGCCCTGAAAATTCTTTAAGTAAAATAGTTAGCTCCATATATAACTGGAAAAATAGCCCAGTTTATTTCCGTGAGTTGTTTGAATGTCTCATCACAGGTAGTAGCAATAGCATGATAAAAATATTTTTAAAAAAGGACAATAAATAAACCTTTCCCTTTTGCAAATATATCAACCTGCAGCTATTTTGAATATATCTGCAGGTCTTATTGTTTGTTTAGGAACCTTACTGGTGGTACTCAGAAGTTACTGCTGGCTCTATGCTCAAGAGTCACACCTGGCAGTGTTTAGGAGAAAGTATGTGATGCCAGGGATCAAGCTTGCATCAGCCATGTGCAAGGCAAGATGCAAGGCAAGTATCTCTACACTGTACTCTCTCAAGACCTAAGATCTATAGTTTTTAACTGACCCCAAAATTAGAATTAGCGATAGCACAGAAGGGCGTTTGCCTTGCACGCGGCCAACCAGGGTTCAATTCCCAGCATCCCATATGGTCCCCTGAGCACCACCAGGAGTAATTCCTGAGTGCAAAGCCAGGAATAATTCCTGTGCATCACCAGGTATGACCCGAAAAGTAAAAAAAAAAAAAAGAAAAGAATTAGTGTAATAGAATTATACCGAATTTCTAGCCTGCATTACCAAAAATATCTCTAGCCATCTAAAATACTAAGCCAGGTTTGAGGTGCCACAGTTCCTGTGGGCAAAAGCACTTCAATGTTAGCAGAGAAGAGCATGAACCTTAGAAACTATTTTTGTGAGAGAGGCAGTAAGATTCTAAACCACTGCAGGAATCATGGAGGTGAGGAGGAGACAGAGACGAGATGGAGGTGAGAGGGCCATGTTTAACAGTGAATGATATATAAACCAAAGAGTGAACTTTCCTATTATGTAGAAGGCAGACTTTGTACAGTGGAACTCTTCATGTGTGGTGTGTGTGTTTGGCTGAGAGAGGAGTACCATTTACCTAGGGTTGAATTATTACATCTGTAGCTAGTCATAAAAGAACTCTTACCTTCCAGAGTTTCCACAGTAATATATATTACTCTCTTGTATTTGGGACCAGATGAGATTCAGATCCCTAAGTAGTCCCTTAGATTCTGTGAGTTTCAGACTATTCACACTTAAATCAATATATTATCCCCCCCCCAAAGGGAGCAAAACCTTGAGGGTTTGGAACATCAGTTAAACTTTAGTAGAAAAAGTAAGAAGATAATGTGAGAATGTGAGACATGGAAATGTGTTTTCTATTAAACTAGAGATTATGCCCTGGGTTGGGAGTGCACTCTGGGGAATTCTTAGGGTGGGATCTATAGAGAAAATAAGAAAAATAGCTGCCAAATACAATGGGTAAAGCACTTGCCTTGCACATTGCCAACCCCGGTACAATCCCCAACACCCCATATGGTCTCCTTAGTCCCTGCAGGGGTTATCCCTGAGTTCAGAACCAGTAGTAAACCCTGGACACTGCAGGGTGTGGCCAAAACTCCCCCCCCCATCCCTCAAAAGAGAAAGTGTTATGGGAGTGGACTGCAGGCAGATGGTGCCAATATAACAGCTGTGCCTAATCTCCTGAAGAAGTGTTGCAGGTGACATATGTGAAATGGGACGAGAAGTAGTAATCTCAAGAGGGGAGTCTTGACTTCCCCTTTACCCACCATTGTCACCCAGGCTAGGCCTGATAAAGTTGGCTACTGTCACCTTTAGCTACAAAGGGTAGGTCTTGCATCTTACCCAGTTCCATTAAACTGCACCTGAGTCCCACTTGACCATCACCGTGTAAGAATTAATCCCTCACACATTGATTTTGAAAGAGTTATAGGAACAGGCTGGAGTGAGGAATGTTCTTTACAGAAGAGAACACTCAGTCCTCTTTGTGCCCTATTTTTCTTTCTTTTTTTTTCCTGGGGGGTGGGGGGCATTCCTTCTCTGGCTTATCGCATACCCTTAAGGAAAAGAATTTTATGAAAGGTACAAATAGTTAAGTTTATTTGGGAAATATGATGGGAGAGAAAGAGGGCTACATGCTCAAGAAAAATCCTTAGAGTGGAAAGAACCGAGGATACATCCTAAGATGGAGCATGTGCTCCAAAAAGTAAAAGAAAGGAATTACAGATATCAGGTGGAGATGTGGGTGGCCCCTAGAACGGGGATATAATACCTCTATCAAATTAGTTTTCATACAGTTTTTTTAAATAAAAACTTTTTAATAGTGAGACATCATGAGGTACAGTTGCATACTTACACATTTTTGTGCTTGGGTTTCAGTTATACAATGATCAAATACCCATCCCTCCACCGGTGCCCATTTCCCACCACCACGGATCCCAGTATCCCTCCCACCTCCCGTTCCCTCCATCCCACCCTGCCTCTGTGGCAGGGCATTCCCTTTTGTTCTCTCTCTCTTATTGGGTGTTGTGGTGTGCAAAAGAGGCAATGAGTGACAATCATGTTTACCTTCCGCAGTTTTCATACAGTTTTTAAAACTGCTCCCCTGCCCCCTGCCCAAGTCTGTTGGCTAGGATATTAACTGAAAGGACTTGAAACTATTGATGGTTTCTTTGACATTTTTGTGTGTGCCCTGGAGATCCATCTCTTTGTGATGCTCTGGGCGTAGAATTCTGCATCTCACAGGCTTTCTTGGCTACTCATATAGGTCCTGTATTTCCGTCTTCAGGGTTTTGGTTTGTCTTGGGTTCCGGACAATGGCTTTCCCCATTACCAGTCGCCTGATATCCCTTACTTGACACAGTAGGATGTCGCAACACTGGGTAGCAAAAGGCCATGTGTCATGAATGCTGTAATCATTTGATAAATTAAAATTAATTTTGTTACCAAAAGGGCAGTGATTTAATACCTGTGTCAAAGCCTCCACATTTATACTCTTCTCTAGTATCTATTTATCTGGTTATTTAAATTGACAAGGTTCTGTTGCTTAGGTTTTATTCAGAAGCAGCTAGTTAAAGCTGGTTTTTCAAAAAGTCCATCTTTGTATCTCTATACTTCACGGTGATTTAAAATTTTTCAATTGGGATGGTATGGTGGTTCAGGCACTTGCCTTGCATGCAGCTGACCTAGGTATCGCATATGATCCCCTGAGCCCTGCCAGGAGTGATCCCCAAGTGCAGAATCACTTTTTTTTCTAGCCCATTGCCAGCCCTTACAGAAAAACAATTTAGGAAAGACAGAAATACTTAAGTAAAATAAGTTTATTTGAAATATGATGGTAGAGGGGCTGGAGAGATAGCACAGTGAGTAGGGCGTTTGCCTTGCACGCAGCCGACCCAGGTTCGATTCCCAGCATCCCATATGGTCCCCTGAGCATCACCAGAGGTAATTCCTGAGTGAAGAGCCAGGAGTAATCCCTGTGCATCGCCGGGTGTGACCCAAAAAGCAAAAAAAAAAAAAAAAAAAGAAATATGATGGTAGAGAGAGTTACATACTCTCATGTAACTGAATACAACTGATGTGACCCCCCCAAAAATATTTTTTTAAAGTTCAGTTTTCCTGGAGGTGATATAGGGAAGGTCCTGGGCACTTTGGTGATGATGGTAGTGGTGAACTGCAGAAATTTTATGATAAATACCATGAAATTTAACACTGTTGTGACTGCCTAATTAATCTTCTTAAGTCATTCTTGGGATGCTACTTAAATTTGCAGGTGTAAATCTCCTGGTGGGAACTGAAAATGGCCTGATGCTCTTGGACAGAAGTGGGCAAGGCAAAGTCTATAATCTGATCAATCGGAGGCGGTTTCAGCAGATGGATGTGCTGGAAGGACTGAATGTCCTTGTGACAATATCAGGTATTTGGCCAAGCCCTCTGGGTCTGTGTAAGTGGGAAACGAATTCACCTAGTTACTGAAAAATACACTAAGCCCATCCCTTCCTAACTCATGACTGACCCCATATAGTACATAGAAATAGTAGAGTATTCTGAGTGATAGCACAGTGGTAGGGTGTTTGCTTTGCACACAGCCAGCCCGGGCGAGCCAAGTTCGATTCCTCCACCCCTCTCGGAGAGCCCAGCAAGCTACCGAGAGTATCTCACCCATTATGCCAAACATAGTAACAAGTCTCAAAATGGAGACGTTACTGGGCCCGCTCGAGCAAATCGATGAACAACGGGAGGACAGTGTCTCTCTGTTTGTTTTTATTCTGAGTGAAATCAGCCATACTTGATGATTCTGGAGATTCTGATCTCTCAAGGGAAGGCTCTCAGTTCTGCATGAGACCTCTGAATCACAGACATACCACCAAGGTCCTATGTTCTTGAACTTCTGCCAGGACTCAGTAGGAATTTTGCAAAGGTGTCTCTACTCATATCAACTCTAATTTCTACTCTGGAGGAGAGCATCAAAATGTGGGCTGTGGGTTTTGAGAGTGGGATTTTTTATAAACAGGACTCTTGTGAATAGTTTCCTCACAAGAATAGCTCTACCAGGGAGTCCACTGATGTCTCAGAAAGTGCAGCTGATGAATTGGGTGATTAACTCTGCAGTGAGATTCGAATGTGAGGATCATTCATCTTACATTCTTCAGCTTTCTGGTCCTCAAAAAGAGCAAAAAGGAAACAAGAGTGAATTATTATTAGCAAGTTAAAAAAATGACTTAAAGAATTTTCTTCCAGTGCAAAGAAATGATACCTTCTAGGTTCTTCTAGACAGGCAAATAATGAAACAAGCACCAGACGGTCTGGAAAACAAAGAAAAAACAGAAAGAAGCGTAATAATAGTATTTATTTCTTCTTTGTAGATAGGAGAGACCTAGAAGAACTGAGAAACTTTTCCATGTGATCTCAATCATCTTGAATAATTCACCTAGGACAGAGGAGGTGGGGGAAGAAGGAGGAGGCATTATGCAGACTTTCCTTCCTCCTTTGAAGAAGAGAGTTATGAGATTGTTTCCTGTTACAGTGAGACTCCCTTCCTTACAGAGCTCGTCCTTTTCACAAGTGAAGGTTTTTCACAAAAGGTTCACTCTAGCCCTCACAGTACCTCCCATGTGTCAACCTTTTGCCAAGGAGACTTTGTTTTTGGTGGCAAGCTTTTACACTCTCCAAAATCTACTCTTTCAAAAGAAGATTTTATCTTTTTGTGGTATTTTTTTTTAAATTTCTATTAGTGAAACACCATGAGGTACAGCTGTAGACTTACAAAGTTTTGTGCTTGGGTTTCAGTTATACAATGATCAAGTACCCATCCCTTCACCAGTGCCCATTTTCCACCATCACTGGTCCCAGTATCCCTCCCACCCCCATCCCACCATCCCACCCTGCCTCTGTGGCAGGGAGTTTAATACATAAGAGCTGTTTTTTTTCCCTCCCATTCATCTAACATGAAGTTAGCACTGCACATTCGCCCCACTTGAGTAGAAAATCCACAACAGCCAGACAATGAACAGAATGTCTGGTATGGGGTTCAGGCATCAAGAACTTTCATGGCTCCTGAGTTGTTTCCACTGAGGCTTGGGCATGCCAGCTAGGTTTATGTTCTGCCTCTAGCATACCCCTGTTCCTTCTTTCCTATTTTTGTTCTGTATTCCTGTCAGTGATCTAAGCACCATAAATATTCCCAGCATTTTTTTTCTAAGCCTAGATTTTCTTTTGTCACGGTCCTAAGGTGGGGGTACCCCTCTGAATTCTCCTCTAGCTGGATACATAATCAAAACAGCATCTTAAAGATTACTAGAGGAAAAGTAGTTTTAATAACATATGTGTTGAAAATTTAACACATTGAGTATGAATTCTAAATATAATGAGCAGATTGGGTATATCAGTCCTGTGCCAGAAAATCTGGGATGTCAAGAAGAGATAAGAGGAAGAATTTGTGACAAAGGAGAATGAACTTTTACTCTGAAAACAAAGAGATAAATTTATCAGATAAACAGCTCATAAATATTGGCAGCCACGTGTGCACACACAGACAGGCAGACAGACAGACATGCACACACACACACACACACACACACACACACACACACACAAACCACTACATTCTTCTGGGTCGTAAGGCTAGTAAGTTTTGATTACTCCCTCTATTAAAAAGAGTGCAAAAGACTGAGACAAAGCTTCTTTTATCCTTTGGGCTTTCACTGCTTTAACCGAAAATAACCTGCATTCTTCAATGATGGCAAAGTTTTTCCAGAGGCCCAAAGAGATGTCATTGACCCTTAGTTCCCCACACCAAAATGTTACTTATTCAAAGAAGCCTCCTCTGGACATATTGAAAATAATCCATCTGATCCAGGAGACTGATTTCACAGATTATTGAACTTGTTTCCCTTGTCTTTAATTTTTTTTTCTTGAATAGAACCTAATACCAACTGTTGTCTTCAAAATAACGGGGGAGTTAAATAAAACTCACCATTAATATATGCTGATGATGTAGATGGTGAGGGAAGCTAAGATGTCCAGTTGTCAACACTCCTTCATATAATTAGGTCTAGAACATTCTATAATGCTGATTCAGCGACTCTATCACAGAATTAGGTCTTAAATGAGTTCGGCATACACTGCACTTTGCATTAGGAAGGGAGAATAACAAACTGCCTGAAAGACCAGGGAGATAACTTCCATGCTCAAGGCCCTGAGTTTGATCCACACACTGTTTCCCCCACCACCTTTAATACCACCAGGGGTAGCCCTGAAGTCCTGAGCACCAATTCACCAGACCCATACCTCACCGCAGGGATTCTCTTATTAAAAGAAAGAACAGAAACAACGGTATAGGCAAATTATAAGATTATTTGTCCACAAACATGATAACCTCTCAGTATCTGTATTGCAAACCATAATGCCCAAAAGTAGAGAGAGAGTATGGGGGAAATTGTCTTCCCTGGAGACAGTGGGAGGGTGGGAAAAGGGGGGGTATACTGGGGACATTGGTGGTGGGGAATGTGCACTGGTGGAGGGATGGGTGTTTGATCATTGTGAGATTATTACTCAAACATGAAGGCTTGTAACTATTTCTCATGGTGATTCAGTAAAATAAAAAAATAAATGAATAAAATAAAAATTATTTGTCCAAACACTTGGAACTGTTTTTTAACTTTATGTCCTGATGGAGAAAACACTTTGGGGATGCTGGGGACACTGAATATTGCACCTTTATGTGCACACAAGCACACACGTGCACACACATAGAAATAGAAATAGCTACAAATATAAACAAATGAGAAATTTAAATGGGGGGAAAGTTGGGAGAAAAATCTATCACAAGAATTTAAAATTAAACTTTATTATTTCAACAGGAAAGAAGAATAAGCTACGCGTCTACTATCTCTCTTGGTTAAGAAACAGAATACTACACAATGATCCGGAAGTAGAAAAGAAACAAGGCTGGATCACAGTTGGGGACTTGGAAGGCTGTATACATTACAAAGTTGGTAAGGTTTAAGGTGTAGAGCTATTTGTTCAATCAGAGCTTTCCGCGTTTCATACTGTTATTTTTCCATCATTTATTGGTGATACTTTTGTTATTAGCTTAAGGTGCTGCTTGAAAGAAATATACCCCTTTGGTATGTTTCAAAAACGTCATACTGCTGAAGTTAAATGAATATGTTCAAAGAAGGTTCTTTTTTTTCAATTGCTTTGAGCATTGAATATATTTTAAGACTGTAGTTTCACACTTCTTTAAACGCATGTCACCTTTCCATGACCCACCAGTGAAGCCCCAATATCTCTGCCTAGACTTCCGTTTGTGCATTTATATGCACTCTCTTCCAGTGACCCATTATATAGGGGAAGAGAAGCCAGCAAGTAAGAGACAGTCAGAGAATTAGACAAGTAGTTAGATGACTATGGACACACCTAGCTGAGGAGGACATGCTGAATTCTACATCTTTTGGAAGAAAAGTTATCACAGTCAATCCAGTTATTCAGCAGAAAGAATCAGAAGTCCCAGACAGACCTGAAATGGAGGGTAGAATGTGATTGCAAAGAAGAGAATTGTGGGAAAGGTGAGGATCAACATGTGCTGCCCTGCTGAGAGGCAGACCCTCTTCCCACTGCATCAGGGGATAAAAGGTTAGAAGAACTAACATGATAATGGATACACACACACACACACACACACACACACACACACACACACAAGCGCACATGCATACTCAATTCCCTAACATTGACAGTCATGATTATGCTACCAAGGAATAAAGTAAAAGATGTGTCCTAAACAGCCAGGAATAACAGGTATTCAGGTACTAATATTGTAAGTACCAAGAAAAAGACTTAAAATGAATTCAGAAAAGGTGACAAGAAGAATCATAAATAAATAGAAATAATGAGAAACAGAAAAAATAATTAAAATGTAATAACTGCAGAGATTAGAAAAGTTTTCTCTCAAAGAGCTGTGACTAAGAAAAGTTAATGGAGCAAGATGTTGGTCATTCAGAGATCAAGAAAAGAATCTTGATAATTAAAATATATTTTACAGGAAAAAACATGCAATCAGAGTAATAGAAGTAAAACATAGAGCACCTAAAAAATAGAACAAAAAACAGATGGGAATGGAGAATAGGGTAAGAGAAAGAAAGGATCCTGAGTAATTTTTGGACTGAGCACTGAGAATAAAAACAAACAGGAAACTTAAAGGAAATAAAGTACTGAAGAAGTAATACAGATCAGTTTCTAGAACCAGTGCCTTGAAATCTCAAATTAAAAGAAAAAATCTATAGCGAATTGAAAAACAGACTCCTAAGAAGACATACCTGCAAGATATTTCAGTTCCAGAAGAGGGTCCTTAAATTTGTCAACAAAATAGTTTATGTGAAATGGAACCAGAGTGTGGTGTTTTGGGACTTAGGGGCATTGCTATAAGATTAGAAAACAATTGACAAAACCCTCAAAACTCAGGGAAAATTATCTCCATCTATATTTCATAACCATCTCTTAGCTATATTTCTCCTAAGAAAAAGAATTTTGTGTGTGTATGTGTGTATGTATATGTGTGTGTACATGGGCCTAGAATGCAATTGATACATTGTCTGATTACTGTATTTTGTAGAACTAGCAAAAAGTTTGCATTTGTTTGAGATCTACATAGAAAATAAGTGTAAACAAATGATGGAAAACTATTAAAGAAAGGTGGCACCTACCATATACTTCACCTGTGATTGAAACATTGATGGTAATTTAACAAAAATTTAAAATATAGCTATATTGGGGTTAAAGTGGAAGAATAAATGTATTGAGAGAACTAAAGAAAGTAATTGAAACTAATTTATTTTGCAACTAGAATCAATAGAGAATGATATTTTAAAAAAAATAAGAAATAACATTATAAGTATGTTATTTAGAAATATGGAAATAAATTGCTGGTTTGGTTGTAAGTATATTGAAGGAAAAAATGATCAGGAGGGACAGAAAAGGAGCTCAGATAACAAAGTTTTGGCCCATTTTCCTGGGCATTCTGATTTCTTCAGGACACTGAATATATTTTAAAAGAGAATGTGGGCCATAGGTACTGTCGTGATCTGTTCTGGCTTCTATTGAAGAATATCAGGCATCAATTTCACACAGTTCTGGAGGTTGGATAGTTCAAAATCAAGGTGCTACCACATTCAAGGTCTGAGCAGGACCCTGAGTGCGGAAGCCAGGATCCTAGACAGCTGTCTATTTGCTATAAGAAGGGTATCTTCCTGGAATATTTCTTTATTGGAGCACTTACGTCTTATAAATTCATAATACTTGGATTTAAAAATTGAATAATAAAAAGGCTTCCATATTATATCTTACCACTTGCTTGTTTTTCTACTGTTACCATACCTGCCACCTCTTATTTATACTCGAGTAAACATAAAAGGAAAGGAGTCAGAGAGATTATAAGGTGTTTGCCTTGCACGTGGATACCTGGGTTTGATGTCCCCCCACCCTACACAGTCCCTCAAACCTGCCAGGCGTGGTCTCTGAGCACTGAGTCAGGAGTAGTCCTAAACACAGCTGGGCATGGCCAAAAGAATGCGACACAAGGAGAACATGCAACTTATAATGCAAATTTTGTTTATAATATAGAGTTCGCATGTCAACCTAGTAGTTAAAGAGAGTCCTGAGCAGTTTTATCTTTATATAAAAGAACCTTAAACATAAAACAAAAGATATCAGGTATTTTCAGATTATGTACACTATCATTCAGCACGTATGAGAAAAATTCAACATGAAGAACATTGCCTTCAATTACACTTTACATATACTACACATACAGTCCCTTACACAATCTTTAATACAGGCACTCAATAATTTTATGTGGTTTTTAATTTGTAATTTTCCCATTACAGTTAAATATGAAAGGATCAAATTCTTGGTGATTGCCTTAAAGAATGCTGTGGAGATATATGCATGGGCCCCTAAACCATATCATAAATTCATGGCATTTAAGGTGAGTAGGCATGTTCCCATGGTCTCTCTTGCACATAGATTATAACCAATATTCTATATATATTAAACTTTTAAAATAATGGTGTGAACTCTTAGAAGTATTATACTACAAGTAGAGGGGAAGTGTTAATAAATGTTATAAAATTGCCCATATTAAATTTTACAAAGGGGGTAATGGAAAGAGGGAATACGTAGATTCATCCGTAATTTCTGTGTCATGAACTCCAAGTGGTATTTAGTATGAACTGGTTTTTAGGCAAAATATTAAGTGTAAGATTGGGCAGTGAGAGTCATTACACGGTTACCTAAATTAGTCTTTGATATTTTGTTTGAAAATATTTGGTGACAAATGTGTAAACTCAAAAAAGACAGCAGCAGTCTATCTCTCCCGCCGCCCGCGTTCGGTAGTCTCACGCCAGTTCCCCCACCCCGGAGAGGTCGATGGCGATGGGCAGGCGAAGGAAGGAATGAGGGCCAGGCTGGTTGGTCTTAGTTGCAGTTTATTCCAATTCTCTCTCCATCCACTCCTGTCTCTCTCCTCTGCCTTCCCCTGCCCACTCTTACAGTCTCATTATATTCCCCTATTTGAGGGGTTGGGGTAACAATTACACATAGGTGTGGTCACAATCAATAGGGGTAGAGTTCTTTCCCTCAGGGGGTACTTCTTCTAGGACAGATACCCTCTCAGTAGGACGACCCACCAAGAGCGGAATCCCATGGGTGTGTTTCTCCTCTCCTTGTCCAACAAACATATAAGCATTCATAATATAAATCATTTTGAATGGATACAGTAAGAAATACCTTAAGCTTATAGAATTGCTCTCCTAGGGCCATCTCGATCTCAGTCTACAGTTCTCAGGCCAGATAGTCTTCCCTGTCCCCAGCAGGGTCCTAGTCTCATCGTTACTTTTGGATCATGACAGCATTTGTCTATGATCAAGCTCTTATAGTTAAGAATCGTGGCACTTTGGCCTGGCCCATTTTGATGCCAGGGTAGCTCACTGCTTGCCCTTGGTTCATTCAGTCCCTCGTTGGGACCCTGCTTTTGGAGTGCTAGGAACTAAGGACAGCTGAGGTTTAAGTCGAGAAAGCAGATGCCCGGGAGTGAATAATATTCAAAGCCAATTAAATGCTAAATTACAAAAGCATAATATTAACTGTCTTCCTGTATCTATACAGAAAGGACATTGCTTTAAACTAAACTATTCAAAAGACATAAGGAGAGGAGAAAGGCGATATTAACTTACAATACAATTTCAGTGTCCTGGAAGGATTTGACCTTACAAATTAACAGATTCTGATTAGGGGAAAAACTGATTAACTTGTTGGGGAAGCGAGCAGAGAGAAGTGGTTACAGATAAACAAAGGAATGGGAGTGACTGTGATGGGGGTAACCTGATAAACCTAAGCTCCTTGTGGCTAGGGAGAAAGGACAAAGCAATGCCATCCTACAACAAATACTGTCAAATCTCAAGTTTGAAATTCGTATAATCCTCATAAACCTCTGGGCTAAATCCCTATCACCCACTCAGTGCTCATCTGTCCCCAGCACACTGAGCCTCTCAGAAGTAAATGTGGGATGTATTCAAATATGAAAATGGCATGGTTTGCCTGTTGTCTCAGTTTTGATTGCTCTTTCATTTTGACTTTGCCTGAATCTCTACTCATGTGGTAGGATTAAGTACTCTTGTAAATTTATGAACGTTGACTCCTAAATACCAGAGAGACAAGTTCTTAGAGACCTGGAACTGTGGTGCTTTCAGAGATATCTGTAATCACTGTTAATTTATCTTCTGCTCATTCTTTCTCTGTCTCTCTCTGTCTCTGTCTGCCTGTCTGTCTGCCTCTGTCTCTGTAGCTGTCACTGTCTCTTTTCTCTCTCTCTCTCTCTCTCTCTCTCTCTCTCTCTCTCTCTCTCTCTCTCTCTCTCTCCCCTTTCCTCATATACATAGTCCTCACTTACTTTTCCTCCCTACCTGTGTGATCATTATCTTCCTTTGATTCTTTATTCCCCCTGCCACATATGTCAAGTAAGAGCAAAAACTACCTTGGGAGCGTTATAATGTCCTGTTTGGGTCTGAATCAACCCACTTCTATCTTGTTCCAAAGCACAAAAGGCTCATTCATGACATGCTTAAAAGATAGATGCAGCCTTGGAAAGAGGCTCTCCTCCGTCATCCCTCTTCTGTGAAGAGTATTTTTTATAATACATTACCTAGCAATAACACTTAAGGGATGACTCCTAAAAGCTAAAGTGGTGCTGATGTTCTGCCAAACTACCTCTCCAGAGAAGCTTTTCATCAAGATGCCAGTCCAGTTTGGAAGTTCCTGCAGTGGTTTACTAGCCAAAAACTTGAGAGAATGCAGTATGCTTTGTTAGGTAGAACATGCCAGGGCTAGGCAGAGGAGAGAACATAAACAGGACTGGACTAGAAGTGGAGCTAGCAAAGGAAATTGAGCCCTCCTGTGGCATAAAATGATGAGGTTCTGTTCCCTACATTAGCAAAAGATAAACGTGAAAGTTCTGTTAGGTGCAGTGCCATTAGAGTCCAGCTATTTGTGATGTCACTGTATGTTATCCTGGACTTTACGACTCAATAAAAGCAGAGTGATTAAATATTAGCAGAGGAAAACAGGAACACTTGACAGTTAATTGGAACTTAGAATCCAGATTCCAACACCTTGAATCTTGGTGACATGGCTGAATCAAGCACTCTTCTCCTTTCTAGTTGATATAGTTAAATGTAACTATCAATACACCGTATGTGACTTTTGCCCCATCCTTTTTATCTATCACCCAAACACAAATCTCATTCCAACATGAAGTTTAGAAAAAGTGTTCATCTGACATCTGCTGGTTGAAGGAAGATCAGAACTGGAGCATGTCTGTGAATCTGAACATGCGTAACAGAACAGAGTGGGTCAGCTGCCCATCCCAGGCGACCTTTGAAAGGACAGTAGCTGTCCATGCACTTGTCACATGGGAAAGAGAGGGGCCACAAGAGGGCTTGAACTTTCTCTTGAGGGAAAGGACCAAAAACAAACAGGAAAAGACAGCAGTACCCGAACATTAAGCTTTAAATATGCAGTGACACTACCAAAATTGACAACAGTAAACAACATCTCTGCCCTGGATAACAAGGAGTGGTGAAAGAGGTACAAATGTGTGCTACACTCTTCCTCCTAGAACTAGAATATGGAAAGACCTAAATTAAAAGAAATTTTCTAGCTTTCAAATTCAAAAAGTCATGCATTAACTTATGCAGGCAATGGCCAAAGGATAAAATTATTAAGACTACCCTTGGAGTGGTGTGGGTACTCATGGTGTGATGTTTAAAGTCTTTTGCAGATCTCCAGCACAAGCCCCTGCTTGTTGATCTCACTGTAGAAGAAGGTCAAAGATTAAAGGTTATATTTGGTTCACACACTGGTTTCCATGTAATTGATGTTGATTCAGGAAACTCCTATGATATCTACATACCATCTCATGTAAGTTCTAAAAGCCAATCATCAACGTACTCTATATAAACCTGCATGTAAAAACGCTTTTCTGTTTTTAATGAAAATCATTCTAACTCAGACAAATCAGTAAAGCAGAAGGACTCTGGGCCTTCATTAAATATAATGCTTTTAATAAATGCCACATATGGTTTTAACTTTGACGACAAGCTAAAACAACAATATGTAATAGAAATTATTTGTAATTTATTTAGCTTGTCTCTTTAAACTTTAAAAAATATATATATATATTTTCCTTCCATGGCATAAATTAGTGTTTTTAAGTAACGATACAATAGATGGGATGCCAGGGATCAAACTCAGGTCAGCGATGTGCAAGCCAAGTGCCCTACCCACTGTAACGCTGTTCTGGCCCCTATAACAGCATATTGTTTTAAAAGACAAGATTATAGACAAGAGAAATTGAGTAGTAAAACTTATACAATAGAGAATTTTGTGAATGGAAGCTACCGAGAGTATCTTGCCTGCAAGGCAAAGCCTGGCAGGCTCCCCGTGATGTATTTGATATGCCAAACACAGTAACAAGAAGTCTCACAATGGAGATGTTACTGGGCCCACTCGAGCAAATCGATGAACAACGAGAGGACAGTGACAGTGTGACAGGGGTACAATAGATGCATTCCCATTTGCATTTTTTGAAGGAAGATTGATTTATTTTATGTGGACAATGCCAGTGGTCCTTTATCTAGTATTTGTGTTCCTTTTTATTGTGAAGGTAATGTTGTATTAAAGAAGTCAGACATGGAGCCCATGTTCTGGCTCTAACACAGATTCACTTTGCAGTAATGACCACATTAGGCAAGCTCTTCAACCCTCGACTTTCACATCTGTAGACTGGGATAAAAAAACAATACCTAGCCCAGACAGCTCTTATCAGCACAATGTGATTTATCTATGGTATTTGGCAGAGATCCCAGCAAATTGTAGTCTTACCATTACTTTCTGGGTACAGTGCCTACACATGATCTTTACATAACTCCAGTCACTTGCTTAAAATAGGAATTCCAAAGGTATTTGTGTATCATTCACTAAGTAGTATTACCAGGGAAGCAAGCATTATATCTCCCATTTGTAACCCAAAGGTTGTGTTAGCAAAAAGTTCTTTATCAAGAAAGTTCTGAAACATTATCTAGAGTTGATTGAGATTTTGACTTTTAAACTTTGCTCCAAAGAAGCACAACTGTTTTAGTACATTGCACTCGCTCCTGCTGGCACAGATGTCCTGCATTGCTGCTTTGGACCATGTCACTCTGTGTAAATGTGCACGTGGGACAGCCATCACACCTCAAACCAGGGCGCAGAGCAGCAATCCATGGTTTTCCTAGAACAGAATCTTTGCACTTATTTCAGTTGGTGACATTTTTTAATAAGTAGTAATTGAAAGTGTTTCTTTTCTTTTTTTTTTTAAGCAAATCCCTAAATTGAGTTATTCTAGTATCTAGCACCTAGATCAGCCATCTGTGTTATATTCTCCTAGCCTGATTGAACATAGACAAGACTTTAAACCTCCCGTATTTTGGTCCCGTTTGGGGTCACTTCCAACAGTCAACTGGTTTGTGTTCTCCTCACCTTTCTTGGAAATCAGTTTTTCTCATGAAAACACACACAAACACACTGCCCTCCCGTTGTTCATCGATTTGCTCGAGCGGGCCAAGTAACATCTCCATTTTGAGACTTGTTGTTACTGTGTTTGACATATCAAATACATAACAGGTAGCTTGCCAGGCTTTGCCGTGTGTTCCCGTGAAAAACAAATCATTTTCTAAATATTAAAAATGGCCTCTAATCCCAGTTCTACCACCAAAGATTAAGGCAGTCTTTGGTCTATTTATATAATCCTTATGAAATGGAACTTTTTGTTTTGTAAACAATGATAATTGGGGAGTTAGTCTCTAAAGAATATAAAGTAGGCATGTCAAAAGATCCAGTGATTGTCACTTAGTAGCTGCTCCATGGTTGTTCCTGTTTTTAGAGACAGGCAATTAGATTCTCACTTGAATGAGTAAAATTGTATTTTCCATATCAGTAGTTAAGCTATATGATATAAATTGTTAGACTCTGGAGTTAACATTAAAAAGTACATTTTTTTGCAGTTCTTAAAAATTAATAGTCAAGAAATCATCTTTTATTTGAAAGAAATAATGCCTGACCTTTCTTTGTCTTCTAGATTCAGGGCAATATCACTCCTCATGCCATTGTCATCTTGCCTAAAACAGATGGAATGGAAATGCTTGTTTGCTATGAGGATGAAGGGGTGTATGTGAACACCTATGGCCGGATAACTAAGGATGTGGTCCTCCAATGGGGAGAAATGCCCACGTCTGTGGGTAGGTTAACTATTCCTTATCTCCTTCAGCAGTTACACTCCCCAAATGAAAAGAAAATCAAGAAATGTGAAACAACCATTTGATTCCACCAAAAAAAAAATGTCTGTGAATAACTCTTGTAAGACTTACTTTGTGTGTTTATCTCAAGTTGTTTGTCGTTTTTGTGGTTAAGATGTGAACAAATAATGTGAGTTATTGCCCATCTAATGTTTTTAATGCAGTTTTGGAAATTCCTTTTGACAGCCTACATTCATTCCAATCAGATAATGGGCTGGGGCGAGAAAGCTATTGAGATCCGGTCAGTGGAAACAGGACATTTGGATGGAGTATTTATGCATAAGCGAGCTCAAAGGTTAAAGTTTCTATGTGAAAGAAATGATAAGGTAAATCCGTTTCAACATTTGCATTAGTGTTTGCATTTTAAGAGACCACCAGGTACCTGTGAAACCTTCATTTTCTTTTATACTGATTTGGATCACATCTGTGTTAAACAATCAATACTATCTTGAAATGGCATTATTTGGTTTGATTCATGTGAACACTCAAAATACATATTCCTCAGATTTAAAAAAGGCAAAAACATCTAGAATTTTCCTGTAAACTCTTAGTATTTTTTGTGACTTATAATGACTCAATAGACAACCCCAAATTTTCTTAAGCACCTAGAATGTTGGCCCACCATAAATCATCTCATAGTGTGATGGGGTCATCATTGTACTTTCACTTTGATACTTTTCATAAGGTCACCATTGGAATTGACCCATCATATTATAATCCACATAAATGTAAAATATTTGATGTATAAGATAATATAGCCCTTAAAAATGTCACCCATTCTTTAAGGAATGCACAATCACAAACTCAACTAGTGCCATGTCCTGTGTCATTCCAGTAATGTTTCTTCTGAAGGGCCATAGGGGACTGTTTTTCAGTGAAACTGATGATGTCCATCTGGCATGATCAGTCACCTCAAAAGGGTGTTCTGCAGCATTGCTGCTTCTCCCTGCCTTCCCTGTAGACTAACCCAGAGTTTATAGTAGCTAAGTTGTATGTATTTGTGAATTCCTTCTTTGTGACTATAATCAACTTAGAAATCCTGTTCTCCCACCCAATGTCCCCAAAAGAGATATAAATTATAGAAAAGAGTCTAGAAAAATATGTTGGGTTGCATAGGCAGATATCTTTTTGACTATCCTATTTCCCCAGAAGTCAAACTTGTCTTAGTCAAACCCTAGAAGTGTGACTCCAGACTAGATTCAGTCCTTACCAGATTCTGCAACCTGGTATGGTGTGCATGAATAGCAACTGTAGGTAGAAGAGATGGCTTCAGGGCCCTACAAGAGTTAGTCAGAAATAACTACAGACAGCCCTCATTAAACTCTAGATTCCGCAAGTCACTAAGGAATCATAAGACTAAGAATGATCTGGGCATGGATCCCAACTCCACCACTGCAGTTCATTTAAGACCCACCCAACAGAAGACTACCGTGCCATGCTCACATCCACTAGTTCAGGATTGGAGGTACCACTATTGGGGGCCCAAGAGATCAGGGCCCACATGACTCTGCAGTTATCCTTTCCCTCGTGGTGGTTTTCTGCAGGCACTTTGTGCCTTCCCATTTGTTCCATTGACCCTAAGAGTAGATTACTCACCTGTGTAGCGTTAGCCAGTGATAAGTGTTTTCAACAGAACTTTACAAGTTGTTGTTGGGATATTTAGTATTCTTCTAAAGAAGTTGTGGAAATGAAGTACCGGAGACTTTATACTAGAGACAAAGTAAATGCCTTGGACAAAGTTTGGTGTCAGCTGACTAAAGGGCTACACCACATCCTGGAATTTTGTTTTATCCAGGCAATGGTGCATTTATATTCAGCTCAAGCAAGCAGAAACCCAAGTTTTGCTTCCTTCTCATAATTTTTTATAAAATATCTTAAGAAATTCAGACGTAAGGAACAGAAGTTCTATTTATTAACGTCATTATCTCAAATGCCCAAAAGATATTATCTCATTTGGCCCAAGATAGAGTAGTATCAGAAAAAAAAAGTCAAACATTAACTCTTAAGATGCCAAATGTTTAGTTCTTACTAAATGTTTTCTGATTATAACCACATTGGATAATAATAACTAGAAAACTTGAAGTTGTATAGTAACCCACTCCCAACTCATCCCCAATCTCTGCCTTGACATTGAGGTCTGAAGGGATTCCCTTCAATCCCAAATCTGCCTTCTGTCATTCTAAGGGAGAAGGAAGCCTCTGTGACTTAGCAGAAATTAACTAGTATGCCCAAGGGCAGAAATAAAACACGTAATTCTAGCCAAAAAAATCTCTTTTAAAATATGAGCATGGAAAGAAGTGTTGCAAGTCAAGATAAAACCCCTTCCGTGTCCCTGAAAACCAATCTCATAGTAGTAATAAGAAGTCAGGGTATACAAGCGGAAATATTTAAAGAGATGCACTGTACCAAAAGCACTTGATAAACACCAGTCATCGAGTCTTAAAAGCTGATTCATGGCAAGGATAGGACATGTGAGAGTAAATGGATGGACAGTTGAAGAAAAGCAGGGAAGAAACCATTCAGTTGAACTAACTTGTTTTTAATTTCAAACAGGTATTTTTTGCATCCGTGCGATCTGGAGGAAGTAGCCAAGTGTTTTTCATGACCCTCAACAGAAATTCCATGATGAACTGGTAACAGAAGAGCACTTGGCACTTATCTTCATGGCGTAATTTCTAATTTAAAAGAACGTAACTCATGTGGACTTATGCCAGTCTAGAGGCAGAATCAGAAGGCTTGGTTGAACACACAGCTTTCCCCTTTTCCTCTCCCTCCACTCGTCCCAAAACAGTCCATCTTTCAATGTTGCAGCCTGGTTGAGAAGGAGAGAAAAAGGTGGCGGAAATTTCCAGGAGATCCCCAAGAATGCTGCGTCTTCTGTGGACAAAGATGGACCTCGTGCCCTTCGGAGTTAGGGATAGAAACAAATATTGTGTGCTCTTAAAATTAAGCTGTGTTACGGTGGAATTTGAGTTTGGGGTTGTTGTGTTTCTCTCATTTACCTTTTTTTTTCTTTACCCCGTTACTTTGTAAGAATGGGGAGAGAATGCGTACTGAGGAAACGAGTTTTTTTTTAATTCTGTCTGCCTGCTAGCTTTAGGTATACAATATGTTATAAAATTTTCAATTTCAAATGGTGAGAGACAGCACAGCACAATAAATGTACCTTATCTCCTTACCCTGAAGGCCATAACTGCATAATGGGATAATTTTAGAATTCTTTTGCCTTCGCCAACCCAAAAAAAAGTTGCTTTTTGATAGCAACTGGCTAATGAATTTTTAAAATGAAAAGAAAAATACTAGTTTTCCCCTCTTTGGGGAAATAGATTTTAAATGGCTAAACTACTAGCCTTAGACTGAACAAATTCAACTACCATTTTTTGAGGCTGGCAGGCCCTATTTTTATATGGCCCTGTTCATAATGGAGTGTGTTGAATGCAATAGTAGCACCATTGAACTGAGTTGGCTCTTGCAATGGAGGGAGTCTCTAACACAGTGTTCCCTCAGCTCTTATGCGACAGATCAGGGCCCCCAAAGGAATGATAGGTGGGGGTCAGGCAGCAAGAGCATCTGGGAAACAAGAGAAGTTTGAGAGAGAGGGGCATTCTTTTTTTTTTTTAAATGCACAAAGCCTCCCAGCTAAGAGGTCTCTCAGTTTGAACTTAAGTTGGGCTGAGACTATTAAGTTATTTCTGGGAACTGGGGAACAGGTAATGTACAGGCTCTGGTCATACCCAGCTTTCTCCTGAGGGTGCCACTTTCTCAAGATGAAAACTGTGACTGAAAACATAATAAATGTTGCTGAGCTACCTGTGTTCTCTCTGGGATGGTGAGAGAAGGGACTAGACTACTGAACCTGCCCGAGACACTGCAGGTATCATTGGTTCCAGGTTTATAGAACTTGAAAGCAAGGCTTTGGCCAAAATTCTGAGACCCTAAATCATTTAACCTTCCTCTAAATGACCCAACATACGGTAAACAACATTTGTGCAGAAATATGTATGTATTTAGCTCAGATTGATTCGTGTTCTTATAAATTCTCACTCAGATGATTTGAACTCTTACGTGACTGTCTGGGAATCTTTTTTTCCAAAGCTACAAGCATGGCTGCCCATGGTATCAAGGTGTTGCAAAAACAAAATACAAAAACAAAAAACAAAAAACAAAAAAAAAACAAAAACAAAACAAAAAAAAACAAAAAAAAATGATCTCTGTGTTGCGCTTCCTGTTTTAACCTACCTCGTTTTGTTTGTTTTTGTTTCACTGTTCATCACAGCGGTGTTAACTCCAGGAGACATATAGAGAGCTCAATTGGCAATCTAAAGTGTACTTCGTATTCTTTGAAAACAAAACAGTAGTTGACCAAATCATTCTTTAAAAACTGGGAAAAAATGTTTCCAGTAACCACAAAAATCTAAAGTGTTTTGTGTCTGAAGAAAATATTCACTTTGAAATACTATGGATTTTTTTTCAAATCTATGATCTTGCCTAAATACAAATGCAGCAAATGTAATATTAATGAGAACGAAACACAATGTAGGGAAATGGGGCCATTCCAATCCGTTGGTTTGGGCTGGGAGTGGCAGTGGGGGATGGGACTAAATAAGACTGTGGGTACTGAATTCGAATTTGATGTGTATGCCCCTCCCATAAAGGTGGTTGTCATTTGCATTTGTTTTAAGTAGGCAACACTCAGTAATGGAACTGAGGAATATCTTCAGGCAATCTACCATGTCCTTGCGGTCCCTCTAGCTCTCAAAAGCAATGAAACCCTCCTGTTCTCATTTTTACTGCTGCAGAACTGCTGCTGAACAATATGACCTTCGCAAATTCCATACCAAAAAAATTCAGCAATAACTTTTTGGATTGAATTTAGCAACTACTGTAATTGGATGTTGATGTGGACAAAATATATTGTGTGGGTCTCATCCCCCAAATGTGATTGCCACCAGCTCTTTATATTGCTGCTGTGGTATTTTCAACCAGAAGCTTCTTTAAATTATGTTGCAAACTGATCCTTGTTTTCATGTTTTGTTTTGTTTTGTTTGAATTTCTAAGTGATAAGTTCGAAACACACAGCTTTAAATGATTTTTTTATTGTGGGATTTTGGGTACAGTTAAGAAATAAAAGGGAATCATTGTGTTTAAACATAAGGTAGTTTGTGAATGTATTTTTTAAAATCTAGATTCATTGAAACAAAAAATCATAAAACAATATTAATACAGTCTTGTTTACAGTATGTACAGTGACATAACATAGAACATGAGCTTTTCTGGTGCCAACAACAATAAAACACAGACGTTAAACATCAAGCCATGACTTTTATATTTTTTTACAACCTACACTAATGGTCAAGGTAAAACCAAATTTAACAAAGGGTCTCCCACAAGTCTGTGTTCTTTAAAAGATACCTGAAAACTTTCTTAAAACTTTTATCTTCCAAGATGCATTTTTCTCTTTCAGGATAGATCCTACCCTTGACATACTGAGACCAGGTTCCTGCAGACTACTCCCTATGATTCATAGCAAATTCATTTCTATATTGTTTTCTTTGGGTTTTCCATGATTTTTAATGTAAAGTTGCTTTTATTCTTCTTCGCAACATCTCGATAAAATTTTCTTCCATTTTAAAACTATTTTTAGAAGTTGAAAATTTTACTTTCAGTTCTTCCTATAGCAGATTATTTTCTCTAAATTTGGCTCATTTTATTTTTCATTTTCTACAGGGAGAAAATGAGTCCTCTCCCCAAAATAAGTGTCACTAGACCTTTTTCATCTTTACTGCTCCAAACTTATGATCGCATAATAAAATTCACTCTCTTACACCATCGATTTGGTCTTGAGCCTAACCAACCATCATTTTTTATGCCAGTCAGCAACTACAATTCTTGATAGCAAGGATTCCTGTATCTAGTTATTGGTAGGAATGGAAGACCTATAAGTTTTCTTCGAATCTCTAACCATGTCAATTTCAGACCATCGGGACCACACACAATATAGATGAAGATAAATGCATTAAGTTCCACATAAACTCAAACTGCTCTATTTAGAAATATATCACTATTTTTCTTGAAGATGTATAAGTAATGTTATAAGAAGGCCTGAACTATTTATGTATCTAACAGAATAGATTAAGGTACAAGTAAAATCACACATGGCATTTGGACCGGGATTCAATTTTTCTAATAGTTTGATATTGTTTTCTAAGATGCACTCCTTAGATAGTTTGCATCAATACACATTCATAAAAGTGTTTTAATATCTGGCTATCTGAACTACTAACAGTCCTCTGTCTGCTCTTGTGACTCATTGGTAATTGGTGTCTCATCCCTCCTGCCATAGATTAGAAAGAGTTGTGAAGATCAGGCCAGAGTCATTTTGGTTTTTGTCTGTTACCAGATAATGTATCAACAAAGGTCTGACCATTCAGTCCATAAAGTTAAAAAAATAAATTCCCCTACTATTATGTGTTTCAGTTCCTGTCACTGTATTCTTGAAATGTAGACAAGCTCTTTGTGCTAATAGTGTGTACTGTCTTTGAAAGTCTGCTTGAATGGGCCTCTCTTGCATTTGTGCTGATTGATTTAACACATAAGATATGCCACGTTATTTTTAAACAAGATAATATCAAATATTTTTAACCTATGAAAAGAAAAAAGAACAATATGCACAAGCAAATTAAATTTGAAGAATACCACCATACGCTAGATATGTTCCAGATATTTCCAAATCTTCTCTCATGTCATATTATAATTTCATTTATTCATTCATATTCAACAGTTTCTCTGAATTATTATTTTTAATTTTTAGTTCATCTCTCCCCCACCCCCAGTTTAATCTAGACTAGACAAATGGCTCAAAGGGCTAGAGCACATGCTTTATATGCTGGAATCCCCAAAATTCAATTCCCAGCATGACATGATTCCCCAAGTACAAAGCCAAAACAAGCCCTTGAGCACCACTAGGTAGGGCCCAAATATAAATTTTTTAATTTAATGTAACCGAATAAATAAAGTATAAGATAAAAACAAGCCCAGAGCCAACCTTTTCTTTAACTACATAGTTACAACATAAAATCCAAAAGTCTAGATTTGATTTCTTTAACCTGCCAGTACCTCTTATAAATGCCACTACAGCTTATCTTGATTGTGATAGTCTAACAGGAATCCAAAATGTGCTGTCCATGTGCTGTCCTTTCATGAATGGGCTGGAGCGATAGCACAGCGGGTAGGGCGTTCGCCTTACAAGCGGCCAACATGGCCGACGCGAGTTCGATTCCTCCGCCCCTCTCGGAGAGCCCGGCAAGCTACCGAGAGTATTCGATATGCCAGACACAGTAACAACAAAGTCTCCAATGGAGACGTTACTGGGCCCGCTCGAGCAAATCGACGATCAACGGGAGGGCCTTTCATGAATGCAAAATGGTTATAGACACATCTCTTTTCAGCAATGAAAACTTCGTGAGAATCTGCAAGTTCAAAACAGACTATTGATACATTTCTGCCAACTGCTTCCGTCTTGGTGTTTGATTTACATACTATGTTTATTCTGGATATTTTTCCATAGGTAGTTAGAATACTTAAAATGTGCAAAGCATTCAACAATATGAGACTATAACTCTTTTTTCCTTGAACTTTATTCTTACAGGCCATTTATTCCAAGGAGGGTCAGTATATGTCAAATTTAAGATCTCCATAAAAGCATTTTAAAATAAAAATTGGTTGATAAGATTTAGAATATTTTAAATCTAGATTCAAATCTTATATTCTGTGTCCATAATGCCAAACATATGGATAAAGCCAAGAAAATACAGCGAAAAATAGAAATGTTACAGTTTCCGGATGTCTCGCGTTGTGAAAACACCCTCAAACTAACTCCTTGAAGGAGAGGGCTTGGTTTTGATTGTTTTATATCAGCATTAAGTTTCATAACTGTTGAGGCTATCAAAACACTGGTAGAAAGTTGGATTTTCATTGCTAGCAATGGATCACTATTTGTACATAGGAATTTTTCATGGTCCAGCTGCCATTTCTTCTTATCTGTTTCCCTGGGGTTAGTATAGTTATATTTATGGATTATTTTAAAAGCTCCGACATTATCCTGTATCAGAACTTCAAAGGGAAGGTTACAGACAGAAATAAATCTACAGTGGTGGGGAAGAGGCAGTTGGGGTGGGGTAGTTGGAATGGGGATAATATGATGATCAGTTGAATGAATTCTAAAAATTGGATGATGTGAAACTATATTTATGCATCTTAGCGGTCTTATTCCAATGCTAACATAACTGCAGAGACACCAATATCATAAAGGAAAATATCATTTTGCTATGCCTACAATCATTTATATTGTTTAAGTCCTAGTTTTTAAAAGTGTTTTATATTGTCATAAAAGTGCTGAAACTAGACTATAGTCTTATCCGTGTCAGCATATAAAAGATAATCTTAGAATATGTTATAGTCTGAACTTTGTTGGTCAATTTCAAGGATTTTTCCCCTCCACAAATAAAACCTCCAGTGATTGTCTACTATTGTCCCATTATTAGTTAGAAATGATTAAATAAGTTCTACCCAAGGAATTCCAAATAGTCCCCACCATTACCTGGGATATATTATTTTATCTCTGTCAAAATATGTTTAACAAAGTACTAGGACACCTGCTTGCCACTGCCAGATTATCTCTTCCTCCTCTAAAAAAAAGTCAATGTTTTGTAAAACTCTTACCATAAATACATAAAGTTTCCTGTTGCCTTTGATAACTCACCTTCATTGCACAAATATTCTGTCTCTTATCTCATAACTATCCTTACTGCCACCTTTTAAAATTCCTGGTGATTTCAGTGTCCATATGAACAAATCCAATAAATGCCCTGATCTTGTCCAATTTCTTTACCTTGTCTGATGAAATTTATCACTATCAATTTTATTCCCAGTTCCCTCTGAGTTGATAACATGCAACTCTTCCTGTTTGCTAGATGACATCCAGTCTCATTAATTAAGGTCCCTGTCCCCAACTATACTACATTTGTGCTGCTATAGTTTGTTCTTTCACTATCCTTTTTGGCCTCACTATCTGCCTAACTGGCTCCTGTTCAAAGTGCAGGTCATACGAGAGAGTTATGCATACTTACTATCTCCATTTCCTCTCCTTCCTTGGGTCTCTTAAGGGAACTTAAGTCAGACTAATCCCCACCCTGATAGATTTTGCTAAGGATGCCAGCCATCTCCATGGTGTTAAGTGTAATGAAGGATCTCTGACACCATGCTTCTTGATTTTATACCTTCTCACCACTAAGATATTCTTCTCATCTTCTCACTTTTCTGGTTCACATTGGAGTGATCAGTAATGGATATCCACTTTCTAAATGAAATGATTTCCTCTGGTCTTTGGGCTAGAAACACCATCTGTATACTGACAATTCCCGTATATTTATCTCCAGGTCTAGTGTGTTGAATGCCAGAATCATCTACCAGCCATTTTCATTTCATTTCATTTCATCATCCTGTTAATCGTCGATTGCCTCGAGCAGGCCCCAGTAACGTCTCTTTCATCCTAGCCCTGAGATTATATTCTACCAGCCATGCGTGCCAGATTCATACATGTATGAATACATGTAATTCCCAAGTTCATATCTTCACTGGGATGTGTAATTGGTGCCTCAAATGTGATAAGATCATACCCAAACTAATTTGCACCCCACACACCAGTCTACTCCCATTGGAGTCTTCCCTACTTCAGAAAATAGCAACCCCACTCTTCCAGATCAGAAAGTCTAATAGTTAACTCTTAATTGTTCTTTTTCATATACCATACCTAATCCATTTTAGAAAACATATTTTGTTTTACCTAGGTTCAGACTATAGCCACCATTCAGAGTCCAGGTCACTTTTACCTATGGTGACACTTTCAACTAAGTTTTGACACTTTTCTGCTTTAGTCCTCATTGTCTTCTCATCTTACCTAAAATGTCAGTGGCCTTACATTGGCTTTTAAGACCCCAGTAAACATGACCAACCTTAACCCCATTTCTAACCGCCATTATCACTGTTTCGAGCTCATTTTCTAGTTCCATGGTGGACCTTAAGCAGCCTACCCTGCGTTTCCCAGGAAACCCTCAGAGATTGTTTCTATCTCACAGTCTTAATCCTTATTGCTAATATATTTCTGTCTGGAAATCTCTTCCTGCATATAGCTGCATTTCGTGTTCTCCCATTCCTTAAAGTATCTGCTCAAATATTCCTTTTCTATCAGAGAGCTATTTAAAATAGCCTTAACACCTCCACCCCCCCCCCCCACTCATTTTTCTGCTTTATTG